AAGTTTCATCAAAATCCAATGAGTGGTTGTTTAGATATCAGTGGAACAATTATGGAACAGCTAAAAATCAGCTAATTATCATGCAAATTAGGTAATTAATATGCACGGATTTTTACCAAAAACTAATCAAATCTGCGCATATGTTCAGAGCATCTATGTACGAAGTTTCATCAAAATCCAATGAGTGGTTGTTTAGATATCAGTGGAACAATCATGGAACAGCTAAAAATCAGCTAATTATCATGCAAATTAGGTAATTAATATGCATGGATTTTTACTAAAAACTAATCAAATCTGTGCATATGTTCAGAGCATCTATGCACCAAGTTTCATTAAAAACCGATGTATGGTTCTTGAGATAGCAGTGGAACAGTCGGACACACATACACACACACACACACACACACACACAGACACACTAACTGCAAAGACTCCCATTTTGTGCTTCGCACATGAGAGTCAAAAAGAAGTCTTTTTTTACTACAGAAATTATAAATAAAGGCTAGCTCAGTTCCCTGACTAGACCCGATGAGATGTTATTTCTTTATTTCTTACCTCAATAAAGCTGTTGTTGTGATTTCAGTTGAATGCGATAACAGATACAGAACTGCACGAATACCTTGGTACTGGATTGAAACTGTTGTTGACTGAAAAGAAGACAGAACAGCAGACATCGTTAAAGGAAACATCAATCCAAACAACATAATGACCCCTGAAGAAAAAGCACCACAAATGTAGGAGAATGCAATTTACAGTTTTTTTTATATAACTTTTCATTCTCTAGATATTCAACTTTATATCATTATTATGTAGTCAGCCATCTTGATTCTCAAGCAAAGGATTATGGGTAAAGTATGACATCATAGAATCATTTCATTCATTAATGTCTTGATGAGTTCTAAGGAGTAGTATAAATCTAAAATATACTTTGTTGTGCCATAAAATACATACCTGAGAGTTCATATAATGTACAAAAAAGAAAATAACATACACATACACATACACCTGGAGTCTAGGTTACATTTTAATAATACTTACCTTGAGAAATAAAGTAATAATAGTATTCAAGTGCTCAAGCTGAAATTGAAAAAAAAAATTACTTTTTTTATTTGTCTCATCTTGATCCAACCAGAAAAACGTAAGTATGGAACTGTCTAAACTGCAATTGAAACCTGTTTTGAGACTCTCCAATAGATGAAGATGCCATTTGAGATTTCATGGCATCCAAGAGTCTCTAAATCAGTCTCAAAAGGCATCTTCATCTGTTAGAGTGTCTCAAAACTGGTCTCAATTGCAGTTTAGACGGTACCATACATACCTCACAAGAAGCTGATGTAAGGAAAGAGGTGTCATCAAGTGGGATATCAAGTTTTGACAAGTATGCCAGGGATCTACACTGATGATGTGAACAGATTAAGGATGTTTATTGTCTCAATCTGATAAAACACTATCAAACCTGTTTGGATTGTCTGTGTACAATTTACTGGTACTGTAAAATCTGTATTAGAAACTGCGGCTTCTATTAAAATGGTACAATGCAACATATGGGATGCGGCTTCTATTAGAGCATCTACACATATGAGAAATGATGAATTTTTTGTTCTTAATTATTTTAAAAGAGTGCGACTTCTATGAAGGATGCGGCTTCTAATACAGATTTTACGGTAGTCTTTATACTGCAAAACACAGATTGACTGTAATACACTTACCAGTTTGTGTGTGTGGATTTGATGTTTAGCAAAGTTAGCAATTGCTCTCGAGACATGACCCATGACATTATTGAGTGAAGAGTATTCACTTAGCATTTCACATGCACAGCATAGATAGTCTTGTAATGCATTCTGAAATAAAAACAATAAAGTATTAAATCACACATATATATATATATTATGACGTTGTCACCTGATATCACTTATTTGTAGACCTGTTTGATACGAGTAGCATCGAGAGCTATTATTCAAGAACTTGTGTGATTGGCTTATAACCAACCATCAACCATCTCTATTAGATGCTGATCACTTGACCAACTGGATTTCCAGAAATGGTGGACGACTTATTCAAATGTTTTTTTGGAAGAAATGGCCAGCAATCAATCAAAACAAAAAACAAATCGATATGCATATGTACACCATTAATCCTTCTCTTTGCCCTAGCAAAACATGTCTGAGCAATAGTTCACACACGAAAATAAAACCGAAATTGTCATCAGTCGGCCATTTCGAATCAAATCATTAAAAAAACTGCATGCATTATGAGTCTATCATGCATGATGTCCATACCATGTTTGAATGAAAGCAGCCCAGATGCCGCTAAGAGAAGGTCTAGGTTAAAATTTTGTGATTTTATGTGTTTTGACAAAAATACAGTACCTATATATATATATATATATATATATATATATATATATATATATATAGTACCTATATGTATAATATCAAAGCAATAAGACTTGCGATTTTTAACAAGAAGTCGAAAATATCACTTTTTACCAAAAACGAAATCAAAGAAAGCTTAGAAAGAACTCCCATGTGCTGAGAGTATTGGAGACACATTAAATATAATTCGAAATTACTTAGCTGAAAACTAATTATGCAAATCAGAAAATTAATATGACCAGATTTGAGTGTAAAACTAATGAGGTCTGCGCAATGTAACATAAAATCTATGTCTCCAAGTTTAATTGAAATGTGATTAGAACCAAAAAATTATGAATTATTATGCTTATTAGGGAATTAATATGAACAGATTTTTACCCCAAACTAATTAGGTTTGTACATTGTCCTAGAGCATCTTTATACTAAGTTTCATTGAAATGGAATAATTAGTACCGTGAAAACTCCAAAATTTCGACCCCTCTAAAAATTCGATCGCCTATTTATTTGCCGGGTTTCGGTGTTTTATTTACCTCCAAATTTTCGATTCCACTAAAAATTGCCGACTCATTCTTATTCGAAAATTGCGACCAGTTTTAGTTTTCCCACAAACGAAAAAAAAAAACGATGTGAGCGTTCAAACGGGACCTTCCTCGAAGGCATGAATCCGGGTTTCTGATTGACTGAGAGATTTTTATTTTATTGGTAACGAAAATATATTCTAAATAAACGAAGTTTGAAATAAAA